GTAGAGTATAAGAAGCTGCTTTTCACCTTGGAGGACCTTACTCCTTCCTTAAAAGAAAGAGCCCTATGCTTATTATGTAACTCCAAGTGCTCAGTGGTCCTTAATCCTTTTTTCCTGTGTGTAACTTTCTCCCACCATCCAACTTCCTGACACAGGCTGGTATTCCTATAGCTTCTTTCAATTTTTTTTTCCTTCTATAAAGTCCTTCTTACTTTTTTTTTTTAATGGAATACTTTATTCTTTCTCATAACCTGAATGGTTGAGAGACATTTTTTCCCTTCCTACAGGATGGAGACCAATTCACTTTCTTTGTATATTTAGCAGTCACATGCCCATAACGGAAAGAAAAATACTTTGCCCACTCTATTGGTCAAATTCTACTGGCCCTTAATCCGTATTAGAAGTGAGATGCTCAGTCCTTAGTTCTCAGCTGGTTTTGTTGGTAACCTTTGTGTTCAATTTTTGCAGCAAAACATTGGGGCAGGGGTGGGAAGGATACTTATTGGAAATGCCTATTTGCTTTGCTGGGGAAATCAATCTTCTTGAATTCCTGGGTCAACTTATTTTTCTCCCAGAGGTTTTTAGGAGTGGCTGTGGGTAGTCATTAACCCACTTTAGAAATGCCTGTCTGCTGCCACCAGTGTGGCGATAGCCTATTCTTGGGGTGGAACTGGGGAAAAGCTTAGCAGATGTGATTCAAAGAAACATCATGGGAACAGATTAGTTCCAACAGCTATCATCATTACTTGCTCCCACACTGGTTTGTATTGTATAAGGGTATTAGAACAACAAGCCATGAATCCTGCCCAAGAGAAATCCATAAACAACTTCAACAAATCACAATGATGACCAGGAAATGAAAACCAAGGCAAACACTGGTGAACTGCCATTGGCCTTCAGCCTCTCTATTTCCCTGAACTCTATCTTCTCACACCCAGTAATGTACTCACCCTTCCAATACACATTCCCTGTCTCCAAGCCAATTCCCTACCAAGATTTTATTCTTTTAGCGTCAAGGCTGATCACCCATCTTGACATACATCAGCAACTGGCCTCCTTCCTACCACCCCCAAATAACCTCACAGAAATATAATCACTGTTCATCTCTCCAGCTGTTCCCAAAGCAATAAAAGCCGTGGAGGAAACTTTTCCATGCTTCCTGTACATACAGAAGTTGGATGACTACTTGTTGAGGATAATATAGGAGGAATTCCTTTTCGTTTAGGGGGTGGACTAGATGCCTTTGAGGCAACTCTGAGATGCAGTGACCTGTTTGGCTCTTCCCTTGCCATCCCTACAGTGTCCCAATTTCCTCATAGGGTTTAATTCTAAAATTATATAATCTGTTACATTCTGGCTGTTTTCTACATTGTACTTGGTACTATGTAGGATGCAAAAAAGGAAAATGTATGGTTCCCCATCTTGAAATGGGAACAACCTACTTTAAGAGACAAGACGTTCAGCAGCAAACAATACATGTGTGTCCATGTGTATGTCTGTGTATGTGTGTATATATACATGTATATATGTATATAGACCTAAATATGGCACAACCTATATATAGTTCATTATGCATTATACAGACATTTAGTGTGAAGGCCTACGTAACTTTTCCATGATAATAATCAAGCATTTATTAAGTGTCTACTATGTGCCAAGCAATGGGCTAACATTAAATCCTACAAATCATAAAGTAATTAATCACTCCAAATTGAATTGAGAATCAGTTTACTGTGCAGACATAGTCAGATTCTATCTACAGTGACTACAGCCACAAACTAAAAGGCAGTGTTTTATGTGACCAGTCAGAAAGGAGGTTTTGGCAAGGAGCAGGCCCTTCTGTCTCACCAAGCTATCTAGTGAAGCTGGGGCTCATCACCAGTGGTAGCATCCTTTAGAATGAAGAACATGAAGCATCAGTGCCTCCTAGTGGCAATGAGATGACCCTCATTCTCAATGAGCCAGGCAGGCTTGATGTTGGAAGAAGCTTCCTAACAAATAGAACTTTTTCACAGCGGGAATAGGTCACCTCAGAAGCTAGTGAGTGCCCCTCCTTGGAGGGCTTCGAGCAGAAGCTGAATGACCACATAGTATAGGAGGGATTCTAGTAGGGCAGGAGTTCTTAATCTTTTCAGTGCCATGGTCCCCTTTGGTAGTCTGGTGAAGTATATGAATCCCTTCTCAGAATCATGTTTTTAAATGCATAAAATAAAATACCTAGGGTTACAAAAGAAATCAATTACACTGAAATAAAGATGGATTTTTTTTTTACCCATTCAAGTTCATGAACTTCCTGAAACTTGTCCTTGTGGTTCATGGACCCCAAGTTAGGAACCCCCTGCTGTAGTGGAGATCTCTTCTAGGCTCTGAAATACTATGATTCTGGATCTAAAACTCTAGTAGATCTTACAAAGCTGGAAAAGCTTAAAATACAAGACCAGAAACGAGCTGTATGTTTGTTGTCAGGGACCATCCTCATTATTAAGGTGATGGGGATTTTTTTTTTAGCCACAACAACTCTTTAAGACCATCTACAAAGTCTTAGAAGTGTTAGACTCTGTGTGTGTGTGTGGGGGGGAGTGATGTGAAATCTTGAGTCCTTGAAACATACACATACATGTAACAAAAATGTACTAAGATTTATCCTCTATAGCAGTTCTTAACCCGGGATTTGTGAACTTTTTAAAAAATATAGTGTAATTAGGACACAATAAAGGTTAAGAACCCCTGGTCTACAGAATTGTTAAGATTTTTTTCTTAAACCTAACAGGCACACAACAACATTAATAATGATAGGTATAATTAAAATTGTAAAAGAAAGCCCAAACCACCTTCCAGATCAATCAATTAATATTGACTCAGTGCTGTGTACCCATTATGTTAATGATGAGAAAAAAAATGAACAGAATTTAAATGGAAATAGGTGGGGTGGGGTAGTGCAAGTGGGGAAAGGTTTCACTCTGCCCTCCTAAAAACAACTTTATTTTTCCATCTTTTTCAGAGTCCTTTCTTCAACTTGATAATTATCACTATTACTCCCTTTCTCTTACCAAGGCCAGTTTAAGGACTCAAGGGTCAATAACTTGGGTTACAAAATAATCAATTGGCTCAGGTTACATAATTAGCTAATTTAAGCTGCATTATACATTACACTGCTCCTGAGTGTTTCCCAGGGGCCAGCCAGGGTCTGAGTCAAGGGAGAAGTCACTAAGAAGCAAGAAGAAACATCTTGTTTTTTTACCTTCTTCCTAGGAAGAGTCCCTTTTCATCCCACTATGTAAAACATATCTTGTTATGTTAAGAGAGAGGCAGGGAAGAAAATGTTGGATTGATGCCATCTCTTTGTTTTCCTTGTTGAGAGGAGCTAGAATAAATAAATAATTTATTCGCTGTAAAGCTCAGGACTTTGCTTTGAATTTTACTTGGTATATAATTATGTATAATGCTGCTAATACAGATCATCTTTCAAAATCCAGGAATGATATCATTTTTATATCTGCACAGCAGCTTTCTTTCAAAGAAAGATATACTTCAATATAGCTCTACTTTTTATAAGTAGAAAATTGCGAGTAAATTATATTTTTGCAAAATAGGTTAATTTTAAATGTACCAGGAAGCTTGCTATTTAAAAATATCTTGCTGTAAAGCTTTTTATAAAGCAAATTCTTTTTTGTTGTTGTTTAAATCCAGATTTTCACATATCAGGTTTTCTTAATGTGAAGTCCACATGTGTGTTGCACATCAAATCTGATAAGGTCAAGAAACACAGTTGTATTATTAACTCCATTTTTACAGTCGATGGAATTGTTTTTTAGAGAAGGCACAGAGTAAGTTGAAGCAGACCTGAGGATGGAATACATCCTCCAAAGCTCACTGCAATGGTGGATAAGTATACACGGAAAATTAATCTGCTTAGCAGTGTTAGACATACATAATGTATTCATCTATTCAGTGTAGCCTTTAGAACCATCAAAGATTTGTTTAAAAGAAGTCATGGAGTCCATATAATAATGTATAACACACAATTAGTTGATTATTAGTCTTTCTCCATAGAGTGTATGTAAGATAATTGGTGTCCACTTATAATCTTAGGCCTTTCTAATTATAATTTTCTTTGTACTAGAGCTCATTAGAGATATTTGGATAAAAATGAGTTTGAAGGGACAAGACAACAAAGCTTTAGTAACAAAGATTGGCTATGAAACATCCATCTACAAATTCCAGTATCAAGTTCTTTTTAAAAAATTTTAATTTATTTTATTTTTAATTTATTATTATTTTACTGAATTAGAAAAAATAATAATGGAATTCATTTGGAAGAACAAAAAGTCTAGAATATCAAAGGAACTAATAAAAAAAAAGAGGTTTAGCAGTACCAAGTTATAAATATAGAAAAATCCTCAATAGGACAATAATGTTCTTTAATTTGGATTTACTTTTAGTCATCTTGATGGGCATCTTAAGTCATGTTACCAAATATTAAAAAATTGTTTCACTGCTCTGATAAAATAACAAAGATATTTGTAAATAATCACAGTAAAATTAAAAAAAAAACTCCTAAATTTCTTAATGAAAAATATTATTGAATCAGTTAATTGCTGATGCTACATTGCAAGATACTGGCTTTTGCTTTGAAACATCTTAGAAGGTGAGCTAATGAAGTCAATTTTGTTTCCCAATTATAAATTATTGAAAGCAAATGATCTCACCTTTCTCGTGTCAGATTCAGAACAAAACTAATCTGAAAATATAAAATTAAAAAAAAAAGACCATCCTTGTATTATTTGGCATTTTGAGTAGTAGGCACTATAAAGATTGCTCAAAAAGATTTTATCTTAAAGAATCAACTCAACTTTTGTTTAAAGTGAAACATTTCACAATGGTAGAATTTGAGGCAGGACAGACAACTGGCTTTAAGGATGAAAAAGACTGCTCTGAAATGTAAAGCCTATTCATGAAACCAAGAACACAAAAATTGTGTAACTGGAGGCTGGACAAACCTTTCTTTTCCTGGGAATGGGCTCATCAAAGAGAAGGTTGCTTGCTTCTGTCTCATCAATGCCGTCATCTGGCTGAGCGGGCGTTCGGAAGGGCTTGAAGCTATCGGCCGACAGGGGTGGAGACGGGGTGGACGGGTTGGACTGATCGCTGGGGGCACTCCAGCTCCAGTACCCACTGCTGCTTGTACTTGAAGGCACGAATCCCCCTTCTTTCCAAGATCCGCTGAGGCCCTCTGTTTACAAACACATCGATGGATAAATACATGTTTCTTTACACCAAGGTCCACCAAGTGTCAGAAATGAGAATTCTTTACTCTGGGCACCCTGCCTCTGATTTTGTTCAATTGTGGATATTGTGTTAAATGATTGGCATGAAGTGGTAATGGCAAGGTTCAGAACTCTATTTACACATCCCCATCCCAAACATGCTAGGGTCGGACTCAAGAGCTTATCATCTCTTCGTAATTTTAAATAAATGTTCATTTAGCTTTGTCTAGGACTAACCGTTGAAGAGCTGTGAAATCGGGCTAGATAACAGAGCAAAGCCTTTAGGTCTGACTTCTCATATAAAATAAGCTGCTAATCTCAAAGCCAAGGCTGAACTTGGAGGAGAACACATAGAAAAAAATACAAGCAACTTTGATGCTTTATTTCACCTTTCTATTCATGAGGGAAATACTATAAACTGACTGACAGTTATCAAGAAACACTGGCTAGAGTACTTAGGTTTGAATCCTAGGCCTATAACCATGGGTAAGTCTGAGCCTTGATTTCTTCATCTGTAAAATGGAGATGATGCTAATTTCAAAGGATTCAACATTTCAATTTAATTCAACAAATATTTATTAAGACAGGTGCTAATTATATAAAGACAAAAATGAAACAGTCCTTGCCCTCAAGAATCTAATATTAGGCAGCTAGTAGCACAATGGATTGGAAGCTAGGTGGCGCCATAATGCACAGAGCCCTGGGCCTGAAGTCAGAAAGACTCATTTTTCCAGAGTTCAAATCTGACCTCAGACACTTATTAGTTGTGTGACCTTGGGCAAGTCACTTAACTCTGTTTGCCTCAGTTTCCTTATCTGTCAGATGGGCTGGAGAAGGAAATGACAAACTACTCCTGTATCTTTGCCAAGAAAACCCCAAATGGGTCACAAAGAATTTGATAAGACTAAAAACAACTGAACAACAAATAAAGCACGGTGGATAGTCAGGAAAACCTGAGTTTGACTCCTGCCTCAGATACTTACTAGCTGTATGACCCTGGGCAAATCACTTGACCTCTCTAAACCTCAGTTTTCTCATCTGTCAAATGGGGATAATAGCACTTATCTAACAATGTTGTTGTGAGAATCAAAGAAGATAATATGTGTAAAGTATTTTTCAAATCTTAAAGTATTCTATAAATGCTGGCTATGATTATTTTAACATTCAATAGTCTATGTAAAAAAGTACATATATAAGTAAATTTAAAAGAAACAGAAAAGAAAAAAGGAGGAATGGAGTAGACTGTATATGAAGGAGCTACATTCATGTTGGGAACACCAGGAGTCAAAATGAAAAAGCTTTGGGGAGAGCATTTTGATGAGGATAAACTCTTGAATATCTGGAAGGGATATTTTAATGGCAGTATGCAACAGATGTGGAAAGAAGGAAAAGTTAGATGACGAGTCTGGGCAATAGGGTGGTCAAGTGTTGGAAGAGACCTTATGGATAGTGTAGTTCTATTCTTTTTTTTTTTTTTTACTAGATGTAAAAACTGAGGTCCAGAGATATTAAGCAATTTGTCCAAAGTCACACATGTAGTGAGAGGCTCCCAAAGTGGGCAAAACGCCCCCTGGAGGGCACTGGAATGATCCAGGAGGGTGGTAGTAGCCTTGGGTGCAACTGGGAGGCATTGAATAAAATTAAGGGGGTGGTGGAAGCATACGGAAAGAAGATAAGAAAAATTTGAAAAACCATTCATGCATGTTTTATCTGTTGAGTAACAGAGTTAAAGTCATAGTGATTACATTATTTTCCAAATAAACACACAAAATGCAAGTTATAAACAAACCATCTGTGGCCAAGTCCGCCAACAGGTCTTAACAAGCAAGTGTCGGCAGGCAAGCATGTCACGCATTGTCGGGAAGACGGCATGTATCAGCAGGAATATGTATGTTTGATGGCTTGTTTACAATACAATACTATATGGTTACATGACGCAATATTATGTCATCAAAATTTTGATGCAGGAAAAACCCACAAATTTATAATAAATTATTAAATTTAAGATGCATCATTTAAAAATATTTTACATATTTTTTGAAATGATGCAAATTTCAAAAAGGTTAAAGGGTTAAAGAAAGTAGATTTTTTGGGGGGGAGAGGCTGAGTAATTTTTTTTTAAAAGGGAACAATAGACCAAATAAATTTGGGAACCTCTGTAAACCAATGGCAGACCTGGTATTTGAATGCAGGTCCTATATTTCTGATTTGCCCTAATGACGGGGCGTGAGTGAGAATTATGCAGGATGGGCAGGCATGATAGGCTGCAATCTGCATCACTGGAGGGAATTCCCACATTACTGAGATGACAGATTTATTTTGTCATTCTTTCTTTGTCAGCGTCACTACACTGGTATATCAAGGAAACAAGGCAGATGTAGTTGCCTGGATTTAGAAAGCATTGGAAAAGGCGTTTATGGATTCATATTCCATTGGAATACTGAAATACTGGAAAATTATGGACAAATTCACATAATCACAGCATCTCAAAGCAGGAAGGGACCTCAGTAGCCATCTGATCCAACCAATCCCTGAATAAGAATCGTTATTATCAAAGTGCTATACAAAGTGAACAGTTTTAATGAGTTATTTTTGCTAACCTAGGGAAAGGTGATCTGGCTAATATGTCTTCAATGTTACTCAACATTAGTCAATCACTTAGCTTTCATAAATATGTACATACATTTTCTTAATTTCTTTTCTTTTTTTTTTTTTTGCTTTTTGGTGAGACAATCGGGGTTAAGTGACTTGCCCAGGGTCACACAGCTAGTAAGTATCAAGTGTCTAAGGCCAGATTTGAACTCAGGTCCTCCTGACTCCAAGACTGGAGCTTTATCCACTGCATCACCTAGCTGCCTACATTTTCTTTTTATTTCCCTGTGCTGAATAACACATTTAATGACTTAAAGTTATTTTTAACACAGAGGGGGGAGCCCTAGTAATTCCTCATTGAGAAATATTAACATTAGTATTATATAGTTGATGAAATGATGACAAATTATAGATTAGCACTCTTAGTAAAAAGCATTTTATACTCATTTTTATTTGATATCGACTTCTGGCATATTCCTCAACTTGGTCAGGGAAAAAGGCCAGGTTAGGTAGAAATAAAGCCTGTAGTTTTAAATGTCAGGTGTTATCCATTTTAGTTATTCATTTCTTCTTGTTATCTTTGGTCATTCATGTTAAGCTTTGCTAATGTTAACAAAATATAAATAATGACTGGTTAGTGCTGTATTTGCTATGAAGTGTTACATATCTATGCAATTTTTATGTATTTTAAGTAGACTTCATTTCATACAACGTAGCTTTTAAGTGGGAGCAAATGTCCTGAATCTCAAAAATAGGAAGAGGAAAAAAAAATCTGCAAAATGGTCAATGAGCTTGACTTCATTTTCTGGAAAAATTCCAGGATATATTATTAAAGAGATGATAAGTAAACATTTAGAAAAGAAAAAGGAGCCAGCACAACTTCATTAAGAGCAGCTCACAGGTCATTCTTTCTTTGTCAGGGTTACTAAATTGATATATCAGGGGAATAAAGTGCATATAGTTGCCTGGATTTAGAAAGCATTGAACAAGGTGTTTATTCTGTTTATTTTATTCTTGTGAACAAGATGGAGAGATAAGAGCTAGACAATAGCATCACGTAGTATATTTAAGACTGGTTGAATTTTCATTTAACTCAGATCCCAGGAGCAGTCATTAATGGTCCTATGTCAGCCTGGAAGGAGGTTTCTAGCAGAATTGCTTAGGGTTCTGTGCTTGGCCCTGTGTTGTTTAACCATTTTATGAATGAGTTGAATAAAGGAAGAGATCATATATTTATTAAATTTGCAGATGCATAAAGTTGGAAGGGGTTGCTAACTCACTGGATGACAGAGTCAGAATTAAAAGGATCTTGACAAATCTGAATGATGGGTCAAATCTAAGAAGATGATATTTAACAGGGATAAACGTAAAGCCTTATACTTGGGTTAAAAAAAAAAACAGCTTTACAAACTACAAGATAGGGGAGGTATAGCTAGAAAGAAGTTTGTCTGAAATAAATCTGGGGGTTTTAGTGGACAGCAGACACAGTATCATTTAACAGCATGATTATGGCGGTGAAGAAGAATTAATCCAATCTTAGGTTGCACGGAGCGAACTGGGGCATCTCTAGGATTAGGGAAGCGACAGTTCCACTCTGCTCTGCCTCGATAAGACCACACCTACAGCACTATCATTCCATTCTAGGCGCCGCATTTTAGGGAAAAACAAAAAACAGAGGACCACAGCTCTGGAGCTAGAGGCAACCTCGGAGAGAGAACCGTAAGCCCAGGGGTGTCCGGAGGAAGCCAAGCAAGAGGGTGAAGGGTCTCAACTTTATGTCATGTGAGGATCAGCTGTAGGAAGTTGGGGTGTTTAGCTTGGTGAAGAGTAGACAACGGGGTGGGGAGAAAATGACAGCTATATTAAAGAATATGCAGGGCTGTCACGTGGAAGAGGGAAGAAAGCTGTAGGAACCGTGGGCTGAAAGTTCAAGGAGACAAATTAGGGTCGATGTAGGTAAACACTTGCTAACAATAAAAGCTGTTGCAATGTGAAAAGGAAATGGATATGCCCTCCGTCTCTGCTTCTCTGAATCATTAACTACCTTCAAAGTTCACCTCAGTCACCACCTCCTATGGGAAACTGTTCTGGCCCGATTTCCTCTAGTAGAAGAGTTCTCTACCTCCTAAGTTATCCTAAATGTCTGTTCCTTGAAGGCAGAGACTATTTTTCATGTTCTCTTTGTATCCCAAGCACCTAAAAATGCCTCGAATACTGTTGCTGTTGAGTTGTTTCAGTAGTGTCTGACTTCATGATCCTATTTTGTTTTGGCTTTTTTTTTTTTTTTTGGCAAAGATACTGGAGTGGTTTGCCATTTCCTTCTCCAGTTCATTTTACATACGAGGAAACTAAGGCAAATAGGGTTAAGTGACTT